TGTGAGGATCTATTGGTTGACAAAAGTGTGGAGCAATAGATACATGTAAGATTCCGCCGATACTTAAATATATATATTTTCCAACAAAATGGTCGATTTTTGATTTTGATATTTTTTTCCACAATTTTATTTTCAAAATAAAAGGGTTTCCCTATTATTTACAAACACTACGTAATCAGTTCCGAAAACAACAGAGGCACACTCGTCCTACACAAACATATACATATAGCATGAACTTTATTGTTCTACACAAAACGAAGACATTACCAGCCTAAATAATCATATACATACAGTTGATGATGTGTATTACTATAAACGGAGACATAAATCGGCCAACATAAACATATACATGTAGTCCTGAGTATATCACATCACATATATGTTTGGGGGAAAAGCACTGCGTTTTTTATTTCTCAATATTTGTGTCAATCCAAACAACAAATCATAAAGACCGGGGCACATTGTCCACATAAACAGTGTAACCAGCTGATCATATAGACCGAGACACGTAATCCACCGACATAAACTCATATACAGTGTAACCAATAGATCATATAGACCGAGACACGTAATCCACCGACATAAACTCATATACAGTGTAACCAGCTGATCATATAGACCGAGAGACATACTCCACCGACATAAACTCATATACAGTGTAACCAGCTGATCATATAGACCGAGAGACATAATCCACTGCATATAGACCGAGACACGTAATCCACCTACATAAACTCATATACAGTGTAACCAATAGATCATATAGACCGAGAGACGTAATCCACCGACATAAACTCATATACAGAGTAACCAGCAGATCATATAGACCGAGACACGTAGTCCACCGACATAAACTCATATACCGTGTAACCAATAGATCATATAGACCGAGAGACGTAATCCACCGACATAAACTCATATACCGTGTAACCAGCTGATCATATAGACCGACACACGTAGTCCACCGACATAAACTCATATACCGTGTAACCAGCTGATCATATAGACCGAGACAAGTAATCCACCGACATAAACTCATATACATTGTAACCAGCAGATCATATAGACCGAGACACATAATCCACCGACATAAACTCATATACCGTGTAACCAGCTGATCATATAGACCGAGCCAAGTAATCCACCGACATAAACTCATATACAGTGTAACTAACATATCATATAGACCGAGAGATAAAACCCACCGACATAAACACATATACAGTGTAACTAACATATCATATAGACCGAGAGATATAATCTACCGACATAAACACATATAGAGTGTAACCAACAGATCAAATAGACCGAGAGATATACTCCACTGACATAAACACATATACAGTGTAACTAACAGATCATATAGACCTAGAGACATACTCCACCGACATAAACACATATACAGTGTAACTAACATATCATATAGACCGAGAAACCTATTCCACCGACATAAACACATATAAAGTGTAACTAACAGATCAAATAGACCGAGAGATATAATCCACTGACATAAACACATATAAAGTGTAACTAAAAGATCAAATAGACCGAGAGATATAATCCACTGACATAAACACATATATAGTGTAACTAACAGATCATATAGACCGAGAGACAGATCCACCGACATAAACACATATACAGTGTAACCAACAGATCAAATAGACCGAGAGATATAATCCACTGACATAAACACATATACAGTGTAACTAACAGATCAAATAGACTAAGAGATATAATCTACCGACATAAACACATATACGGTGTAACCAACTGATCATATAGACCGAGACAAGTAATCCACCGACATAAACTCATATACAGTGTAACTAACAAATCAAATAGACCGAGAGATATAATCCACCGACATAAACACATATACAATGTAACTAACAGATCATATAGACCGAGATATAATCTACCGACATAAACACATATACGGTGTAACCAACAGATCATATAGACCGAGAGACAGATCCACCGACATAAACACATATATATAGTGTAACCAACAGATCATATAGACCGAGAGATATCATCCACTGACATAAACACATATACAGTGTAACTAACGGATCATATAGACTGAGAGACAGATCCACCGACATAAACACATATACAGTGCAACCAACATTTCATATCGACCGAGAGATATCATCCACCGACATAAATACATATACAGTGTAACCAACATATCATATAGACCTAGAGACATACTCCACCGACGTAAACACATATAAAGTGTAACTAACAGATCATATAGACCTAGAGATATCATCCACCGACATAAATACATATACAGTGTAACCAACAGATCATGTAGACCTAGAGACATACTCCACCGACGTAAACACATATAAAGTGTAACCAACATATCATATATACCGGGAGATATCATCCACTGAAAAAAATACATATACAGTGTAACCAAAAGATCATATCGACCGAGAGATAAAACCCACTGACATAAACACATATACAGTGTAACTAACAGATCATATAGACCGAGAGACATAATCCTCTGACATAAACACATATATAGTGTAACCAACAGATCATATAGACCTAGAGACATACTCCACCGACGTAAACACATATAAAGTGTAACCAACATATCATATATACCGGGAGATATCATCCACTGAAATAAATACATATACAGTGTAACCAACAGATCATATAGACCGAGAGATATAATCCGTTGACATAAACACATATATAGTGTAACCAATATATTATATAGATGGAGAGATATCATCCACCGGCATGAACACCTATACAGTGTAACTAACAGATCAAATAGACCGAGAGATATAATGCACTGACATAAACACATATACAGTGTAACCAACAGATCAAATAGACCGAGAGATATAATGCACTGACATAAACACATATACAGTGTAACTAATCCACTGACATAAACACATATACAGTGTAACCAACAGATCATATAGACCGAGAGATATAATCCACTGACATAACACATATACAGTGTAACTAACAGATCATACAGACCGAGAGACATAATCCACTGACATAAAAACATATATAGTGTAACCAACAGATCATATAGACCTAGAGACATGCTCCACCGACGTAAACACATATAAAGTGTAACCAACATATCATATATACCGGGAGATATCATCCACTGAAAAAAATACATATACAGTGTAACCAAAAGATCATATCGACCGAGAGATAAAACCCACTGACATAAACACATATACAGTGTAATTAACAGATCATATAGACCGAGAGACATAATCCACTGACATAAAAACATATATAGTGTAACCAACAGATCATATAGACCTAGAGACATACTCCACCGACGTAAACACATATAAAGTGTAACCAAAATATCATATATACCGGGAGATATCATCCACTGAAAAAAATACATATACAGTGTAACCAAAAGATCATATCGACCGAGAGATAAAACCCACTGACATAAACACATATACAGTGTAACTAACAGATAATATAGACCGAGAGACATAATCCACTGACATAAACACATATACAGTGTAACCAACATATCATATAGACCGAGAGATAAAACCCACCGACATAAACACATACATGTATATAACATACATTGTACAATCGACCAGATTCAAACTTATCATATCATCTAGACCAGGAGATTTACATTGCCGACATAAGTATGTAATGACACAGCTCAATAGATTATAGACGACTGTGAAGGACACAATGCGGTGTTACATCTGTATAAAGTCATGTGTTTACAAGATCAGAATCATCGGTATGATCAAAGAATGAATAAAACATTCAGTAGAACTGTTTTCATATTCATGAAGCTCCCTTGTTGTAATGTTGTTCGATTTTCCGTCTGGGGATAAGTCGCCATTCCGGGGTTATATTGATCCCTACACCAAGTCAACAAGTCATTGTCGGAGGGATTCTACTTTTAGTGTACTGATCTTTGTCGATCAATATAAAGATATCGAATGAGTAGCGTACAAATACCTTCAGCGTTGAGGTGTCAGAAATGTTGGCACCTATACTACATGTAAAGTTAAATATATTGTTTGGTCATTGTCTGGCGAAAGCTGTCATATACGTCGCCTTCACATCGTTTACTCTAACAATTACTTTCTCTCTTCATTATTTTCCATTCTTTTGTGACATGGTATATTTTTAGAAAACGTAACGTTATCAAAATAATTAATAGGAAATGTACACATAATACCAAACACATGTTTTACCATTTGTTCGATTATAAATTTATCAATATACATGTAATCAATTAAATAAGCGTCGTTACTTAGAAAAGCTATCTTTTTCTCTGTGTTACATAGGTATATCATTTGGCCATTGGCTGATGACCTACAAATGGTGGGGATAAGTCTAGACTCATTCCGTCTTAGTACTACCATCTCCTGAAGTAAGTAATTACTGTGAATACATTATACAATTTACCTCTCTGCTATATATATTAATCACATCCGGTAAACATCTTACATTCAATTATCGTTACCACGTGTTTATATTCCTTATTTTACAAAAAAAACATTGGCTCTTGCTATGTGAAAATACAACAATACTAATTATCGCTTTATAAAGTACAGTGATGAGATACTTTCAGAAAGAGACTCAATACAGAAAGTATACCTGTACGATGACTATTACCTATCTATTTTCTTACATCTCGTATGTTCTGTACCTCGCCATCCCCATAACGGGAGAGTATAAGTTTATCAAGTCATCTTAAGATAGTGTAACTGTTACACGTGGAATACTTGTTACAAGGGGTATTAACCTGTCAATTACGTCACGGTTTGATTTTGATACTAAATAATCATAATTTAAAGATTGAATTTGAGTGTAACTATGTTTCGTTCTCTTAAAATAAGCTTAAATACCATCTCATAGGGTTAACGAGACATTTAAAACACACAAATATGACTTAACAAGGTATTATTTATAAAAAAAACAACAATATCAAATTAATGAACAAATATACCTACCACCGTAGCGCACAACAATGAAAGTTTGGTCGTCCGGCATATTTGACATACTCAGTCTTACATCTGACACCTGTCAGCACAGGAGAGTTTGAGAAACCAAACAGGTAGACAGTTCTAAGCCACTGCTGATTAAATGATGTTACGTAAAATCACACACTTTTACATATCGGGCTTCACATTGTCATGTCTGCCTCGTAAGGTCCGGCGCAAAGTCTGACACAAAATGAAACTGTAAATGAGTTCCAAATTTTCTTCTCGCCTAGCGCCGTCTGTGCGGATTGAGAATCACATCCTTTATTGCATATACACGGCGAATACACCGTTGAGATATTAGTAACCTAATACACAGGTATGATGGCCACAGGTAAAATATTCACAGGTGAGGAGCTGTACAAATCAATCCTCCCTTATACCCAGACTCGTCCAGTTCTGTAGGCGAAACAATCACATGTGTTGTTCATGCACGGGACAGAGAAATGATTAATCGGGTATATATGTTTACTACATAATTTGTCGCTGTTTTTTATTGACTGTGTGTAACGAGACTTGTACTCGCTATTACAAGTGAAGGACGGGTGTTAAAGGTGTCGGGTCGGGACATGTTTTGTTATATTCACATGATTTAATCGCGCCCGTCAACGATCGGTAATGGGGACAGATATAAGCAGGGATTTACAAGTCACGGCTACCGAGTATTAACTGGTAATAACAAACAATATCAGACCTACGGGGGTTCACGTAGCTCGGCTTAACATTACGTACTCCTTAAACAAACCTCTCGTCTTTAAAATCCGACGATAGATATACAGATTTCTTTTCAGTAAGGAAGTCAACGAATTTCCTATCAAAAGAAGCACATACGAGTACAATATACATAAAACCTATTCACAGTTACAGTGTAAGATGTTAGTTTTCATACACTGATGTAAAAGTGCGCTATAAAGGTACGTTAGTAGTGAGAAAATACCGTTAAATTTCCTACCTTACATCTTGTAATACTAGTAACTAAGAGGACATGGCTTTATCCACCAGTGTCTAGTGCAGTTTGTATAATACCAAGTTACCTTACATTTACTCCTTATCACATCGATTGATTGATTGATTGATTTGGGATTTACCTCTTCCCGACCGTAAAAGTCTCATTACGTTGGTACCCACAGATATTGAGACATCGAATTTGTGATGCACAAGCAGGTCACATTGTTCTGAAACAGACATTTACCTGACATTTGAATTACGCTTTCTCTTGTGAACAAGCGATTCAATGTAATATCTTGACGTGTACTTCGTTTCAATTCAAACTTTTGTTTATTAGTTACATTGTGCATCATTTTAGTTGAATTACTTGAAAGCAAATATTGGTTAGGTTAACATTTCATTCAGGTATACAAACAAGGAAGTCAATGCAGGCTGAATTGCTTATGTGCAAATATTGATTGCAGTGAGTGAAGTCTTTGATATTGAGAGAGAAAGCCATATATCATTTGAATAACGGTAGCGTGGACTGTGAGTAACAGACAGAAGTACAAGTATTGTATAGTGTTTGCTTTACCTGTTATTTACTTTCACCGTACCCTTCATTGACTCCTTTGAATATATCGTTAATGTTTTAATAGATCAATATATCATTCTGTCAACGCAATCTATCAATAGTAAGTGCATGAAGAATATACAGTAAAATAGTGAACAGAATGCGATGTCACGGGAGAGTCGGTAAGGGTCGTGTTCCATAACTTTTAAGCCTGTTCATCAACACGTTACATTACATATATGTCCTTAATAAAAGTATAAGATAATCAGAGTGTAAGCACTATTATAGAAATATTTATGTCCCCTCTTCTGGCCGACTTGTTTTTTTTTTGTTTTCATAGGAGGCTGAATTTATTGCTGAATTTATAAAGACTTATCACAAACACCTCGGCAAGCCCTATATCACATTCAGATATGTCGACGGTGTGCTGTCTTTATATCGACGTCGGCCATAGTGTACATGCTCCTGAGCCTAAATCAAGGACACTATAGACTCCTTACATGTTCTTCTTTCCTCGGTCTTGATTTACGACATAACCAAAAGGGACGGCTCACTACTTCGCTGTACAGGTGTGGGAACGCACAACGCACCAAAAATACCGTGCGCACACCGTGCATACATCGTCCACACACCGTCCGCACATCGTCCACACATGGTGCGCACAACTGTGCGATTTAACAATCGTTCGCCCCGTTGTGCGCTTCTCTCCGCACATCTGTGCGATATGGTACAATTTGTTGATCAATATTACGGAATGGAAAAAATACGGAATGCTCGTATGCAATAATGTACACTGTATATATCACTGTAATTTCTCATCACTATAATCAGAAACGTATACGTCTCTGCTATAATTAAGAGTAGGTACAAGTTTACAATGCGTGTAATACAGTATACACTGACCGTTAGACTGTCAAGAATGGGTTAGGCTCGTCTGTAACAAAACAGGTTAATAACAATTTGATGAGTGACCGGAGTTTTACTTGGCCTGTAACTGACACATAGAGCTGACATATGACACCGTATGACCGTTATGAAAACTCAACTGGACGTTTAATATTTGTTATTTGCATTCGTTTTGGTCTATAGCTCCCCTTCATCTGGTTTTCACACCTTGGCGTGTTACGTAAGTGCCCCGGGCGGGGTAAACGACGGTCCAGGCAATGTTTACCTGTAGCCGAGACTGTGTTGTAAATTTACACGTGTCGATTAAGGTCGTTTAAAAACCCCACAAAACACCATTTCTAAATTTAAGAAAGTATAGACAGAAAGATAAGCTTATAGATGTAGCTAGAGTATAGAAACATACTATCTGATTTTATGTTCAAACACGAAACCGTATATATTGTCAAGCCATTCCTTAATTTACACCAACCACGATTGCTATCGCCCAACGTTCGTCGATCGTCCGCACAAATGTGCGCAAGGAATGATTGTCCAATTTCTATCGTTCGCACATCGTGCGCACACCGCACATCGTGTAACGTTGTGCGATCCAACACCTGTACATTAAGCAATTTAGATATTCCGATCGTGGGCTTTGTCTTTCTTGATAGCACCCTCCCCGTTCCAAAACTATGATTTGTTTATGTCGCGTTTGATTCGGTATTCAACAGCTGGCTCCGACTATCATGACTTCCATTTTACATGTCAACAATGACGACAAAGCTATAATAATAATAATAATAAAGGCATTATTTATTCTTGACAACATATTGAGCATGAAGCTCATCTTACATATGGTCAAGATACAATGTATGATAACATGTACAGTATTTACAGCTACAACTCAGAATTTCCAGAGATGCAGGTGATGATCTCAAGTGTAACTGTCCCCATCACAGTCTCATTTGAAAATATAATTTTTCTTGCGTTATGTGAAGGTCGATGGTTGTTTTTGCTCATTAGTGTGTCTTGTTTTGTTTTGACTACTCAAACTCTCGCTATAAGGTGGTGGCATTACCTGTATTTGACCTTGATTTACATGGTGGGTGTAGTCAATAAAGCAGAAGATGCCTACCGTTCCAGATTATCTAGTCGTATTCTCCTCGTACCTTTCCAACTCAACAGTATCCATGTTAACTTATGTATAATGTTAAATGTATTGTTTATCTTTATTCCATCTATATCTTGAGAATCTTGAGAATGTCATAATGTTGTTTTTTTTTGACAATTTGTTGTTGTAAGACATACAGGCTATTTTTAATTCACACATGAAATATGGTTATATTTTATATAACATATTTTTCATACATGGAAAAGAGGCATCAGTCCGTCATATTGATTATACGTGGTTTTTTTTATACTTGAGTGCCTTTTCACTTTTAAAATGTTAAGGCGTCCGTCGTTCTTCTAGCTTTAACGTTTTTTAACGTCTCATAAAGAAACATTACATATATCGTCTTAGTTTATTTGACCAACGGTCAGTGTCAATCTAGACAAATTTATCTTAATTTAAGCATGACATCTTCTAGGAGCTCTGGGTACAAGATTAATGACAGTTTGCATATAGAAGGGAACCGATGAAACAAGAAAGGATACCGATGTTATTCAAGTAAATAAAAATAACAAAACCTCAATGTGAAATGTGGACGAATGTTACTCCCACTAAATTGTTCTAGTGCACCATGATAATTAGTTATTTGGCCTACCGCTTTGCTGAGGCGACGGCATATTAAGTCAATTCAGTTAACAGAAATATACATGTTATATGTCAAAATTCGCAGATAATTTCTTCTAAGATCTTCTAAAGATTGCCGGGGTAAAAGGCTCGCTCAGAAAGACCTCGTATAATATTGTGCAATTTTGTTTTCTGATCGATATTCACAAATATAAAAATAAAAGTATAAAAAATGCATACGTCTTCTTTTCAGCACTTCAATAATAAATACATTTTGCTACATCATTGAATAGCAGGTAAGCGATATATACCAATTACTCGTCTTGTATAGTAAGAACTTTTTATTCCTTTATGAATAGGTCAATAATGGTCATTTCTTCTTTTTAAATAAATAATTACGAAGTAAACGGGTTTTTTATTTACGTTTTGACTAGATGCCATACATGCATATGAAATTGTCAGAGAATCTTTCAAAACTTTAAAGTAATTGATATGTCTGTTAGTAGGCTAGTTGCATTTGTCAAATGAGTCCTAATGTAGCATGTGTCGATAAAATATAGTGTAGTACCCATGTCATTTAAACGACAGCTAACAGCAAACCTAATTTGAAACAAATATTGCAGGAGGCTTGAGACGCACGTGCAATACTATATAGAAGGTACAGTTACATGTAAATCGGAAGCAGTTGCTGACAATAAGCCATATTTGAGTATCCATGAGCATGAGTAATATATGAAGAGTAAATGTTTTCATCCTTCCGTTTGTAGAAACTCACTTTAATGAATGTCTAATATTCGGAAATATCCGGATACTGTTATCCAACTTACCATGTTAACAGTCAAACCGCTTGAGGAACCACCTCTATTAAGAGAATACCGGTGTTAAGTGTCTGTTCGTTTGTCACAACCCAATACATAGTCAGCGGGTCGTAACCGGCATTGTACGTAACAGACAAGATAAGAAGCTGGTGAAAGGGAGTTACTGTAAAATTGTAATTATCCTAGGAAGACCTTGCCCAATGTTTATAATAATTATAACATCAATGTTAAACCCTATATTCAACGATGTTTATCGACCGAAGTCACACTTTCCTTATAGTGTAACAACGATAGGTTCACACCTTTAAAACTTAGTTATCTCATTCTAATTCATAACATACATTAAATCAAGGTATGCTATACATGCATTTAGACCAAATCATACGGAACTTGCTTATTGTTATAATCTGAACATCTTTTTTCCTCCGCTGGTGTTTTTCCATAGGTTTTTAAAGACAAATTGGATATCAGTTAAAGCTATTCTTGACTTACAATATATGCAAATAATACAAGATTATATTTTACGTCACAGA